AGGCAATGGACTTCACTTTGAAGAACTTTTAATAACGGCAACGAGTTACTAGTATGTTTGCACTTAGCCCTCTCTCATGGGACGAACATATTTGTACTTTCTAAGCGCAAGAAAAGCATGTTGGTCCTCCAGTTATTTCCATTCTCATATGACTTGGAGGGGTTACTGAGGGGTCGCTCAGCCAGCTCCTCAGAAGTGTTTGCTGACCAGAGGAAATGCATCAGGGTCATCTCGAACACGCCCTATAGGAACGATTGTATGGAACAGTTTATTTCTCTGGGTGCATTTACACTACCTTGTAGTGATGTAAAATATTTGAGTAACAGTTAAAAAGTAAGCGTTACTTGCCAGGACTCAAAGTAACTTTTACCCGTGGTAAAAAGACTCGTTCTTTTTGCTATTTAGTTACTTTTGTATTACAGACTATGCACTATATAATTCTAATTGTAAATCACGTACGACGTGGTTTTTGTTTTCTTTTCACATAAACCTACCATTTTGGGGAATCACAGGTGAATTGTGAGTGAATTATGAGCTGCGGGGCCGCCAACACATTATTAATTTTTTTCTTATTACTTGTCAATAAAATTCCGTGAGAAAGTTATAGTTTCATTCTTGATGTAAGACCATTGAGTACATTTATTTATAAAAGTTCTTGTACGTTTTGCCAATTTCATTCCAGCTTCGTCACAGCTTAGCATGATATTCGCAAACTTTAGCGTCGTTGTTATTTAAAAAACTCCTGGGAAGCGACAGCTCACTTGACGGACACTTACGGTAATTTCTCAGGTCAAGTAATTTTCGTCTACTATCAAAGTTGTCACCTAGTTGACAGTGATTGTATTATTACTTCATAGCAAATACCAAAACCACAAACATATTGAAGTTTAACAGAAATGATTTGAATTTGTGCAATCATGAGTACCTGTATATTGGGAAATACTTGAGGGCCACTTAATTTAAATACCCTTGAGTGTGCTTGTGACTGACGATTAAGAATATGACTCTCAGTACTGTGCAACAATGCTGAGATATGTAACTGATCTTGTTATTCTCTAGCGGTTCTATTACCTGCATTAACAAAATTTCTTTGGGATCATCATCATGCGGGGCTGCTTCGATATAAAAAAAAAAATAGTAAGAAAAAGGTGATACTTTGTTCGTTACAGTAGCTCGTGTTTTAGAAACAACCTTGGTATTTTCTCCGGCTGATCACCAAAGAAAGCCAATCATTCCTTTTCGGGGCAATCATCCTTGGCAAGATTGGGTCGCGGATATCGCTTTAAAGCGTTCTGAGTAAAGTCCGCCACATAAAGGGAATCCAAATTTTGCTTTACTGATAGTCCAATAAACCAAATCGCTTCATTCCTCTTATACATGCATAACCTCATGCACTTTGGAGACTTTATATGATGTGAAGTTGTTTTTGGGGTACTTGAATTTGGTGTTTTGAGTTGTTCAATGGAACAAGAAGAAATGTACTTTTTGACTATTTTCTGTATAACTATCATCTACTACTTTCTCATAATGCTTTCATTTGGTAACCACCTTGTAAAAACACTGAAGAAGACTGTAATCTAAATGATCGTCTCAAAAAATCCAAATTCTTTACGAACCTGCTGGTTGCCGTACTAGTATTTGAACACCACGGTCACTATTGACTAACCCATGTTCAATTACAGGAAAATGTACATGTTTTACATTGTTGAACATATAAACACTCTAGGTTCAATCTTGACTATGTTCTTAAAAAAACAAGAAACACATTGCTTCTCTAATAAACAAACGGGCGTTCCTTTAATGTAGAGCCCTTCTTCACCGGGTCCAGCATCTCAACACCAATTTTATTAACTATTTGAGTCATACTCACTAATTATGGGGATTTTTTGTCACAATAAATACTATGAAAATAATGTATAAAGAAAAGCAGATAAGCAAATCAATAAGAATGTTTATGAATCATGTTCAAGGTTATGTTTACCGAAGCTATGTCGCTTGAAGTTAAAGCCAGTCCTATTTCAGTTCTTCAACACGCAAGCCGTTTTCAAGTTGCTTGCGCATTCGGCACCATTGACACATCCAAAAATTACAAAAGCAGCTTGATGTGCATTCAAGAACGTACACCCATCTTATCCGTAAAGGGCACAGTTTGCTTCTCTGCAATTATTCTCCCTTTTTCGCTCGTCTGCTGATTTTATTCGGGTGACTCTCCTGGATAATATATTAGGCTAGACACTGAATCACTTGTTAAAAAACTGACATATTTGGGGATGTATGTTATTGGCTATCTATCATGGTGTAACCATGTTTCATGACTTGACGATGAAGAACGACAGTTGATAAAAAATTTCTTCAAATCTACTATTTTGCGGTATTTAGCAATTGCATCATTTTTCAGTGGACGCAATTCCATTATGAATAAAGTAAAGAAGATCCTGAGGACCATGTATATTAAGAACAAGCTTTTCTCTTGCTGACTGCTAACATAATCAAATTATTCTCCGTATCTCACCGCAGGTTATCTCTTGTAGCAAAAGGTCCAAGCATAATGATGATTAATTTATATTGGGTGGGCCATTTAAAAGTTTCGATTTAAAAATAAAATAAAACAAAAACGGTTTGAGATATTGCCAAATTTATTTTTTTGTTTTGAAGTACAATTGTTCCGCTCAGAAATGAAATATTACTTCATTCAAATGGCTGCCGCGGCTGGCCTCACAGTAGCCCATTCGATCGGACCAATTTTCGAGCACTTTTTCGAGTGTTTGGGGCCGTATCTCGTCAATGGCATCACGAATGTTGGCCTTCAAATGGTCAATTGTCTCTGGATGGTCGACATAACACTTGTCTTTAACAGCGCCCCACAGGAAATAGTCCAATGGTGTCAAATCGCAGCTTCTTGGCGGCCAATTGACATCACCATTTCGACTGATTAAACGGCCATCGAAGGTTTCGCGCAATAAGTTGATTGTGGCATGCGATGTGTGACAAGTTGCACCATCCTGCTGAAACCAAACATTCTCCACATCAATACCATCAAGAGCAGGAACAAAAAAATCAGTTATCATGGTGCGATAGGTGTTTCCATTGACAGAAACGGTTGCGCCGTCCCCGTCTTCAAAGAAATATGGGCCAATGATGCCTCCGCTCCACAATCCACACCAAACAGTCACTCGCAAGGGATGCATTGGCTTCTCTAAGACCTCGTGTGGGTTTTCCGAGCCCCAGATACGGCAATTTTGCTTATTGACGTAGCCACCAATATGAAAATGAGCTTCGTCTGAAAAGATTATTTTTTTTTGCAAAATCGACATCATTGATTAGTTGCTCGTTGGCCCATGTAGCGAAGGCAGAACGAAGTGGATGGTCACGCGGCTTCAACTCTTGAACCAATTGAACTTTGTAAGGCGTCATACCGAGATCTTTCCGCAAAATTCGTCGTAAACTGGTGCGGGAAATGTTCAATTCTTGGGAACGATGACGTGTTGACGTTGATGGATTTTCACGCACACTCGCAGCCACAGCATGGATACCTTCGGGTGTACGCACTGTACGAGCACGCTGACGTGTTGGAGCATCAACAATGAAACCAGTTTCACGCACTTTATTAATAAACTTGCGTATACCGGGCGCTGTTGGTGCTTCGTTGCGACCGAATTTTGAACGGCATTTTCGTGCAATTTCTGCCCAATTGTCTTTGTTTTGGAAATAAATTTCCAATATTACCCAACGTTGCTCAAGCGTAAATCGATTCATTTCGTTCAGCGGAGATAATATACTGAATTTTATGACAAATCAGATTGACATAAGTATTGTCAGCGTCAAATTAACACGTGGTTCAAATCGAAACCGATAGATGGCCCACCCGTTATAACAAGCTTCTAACATATATCATCAGTAAGCGTTATTAAAAACAAAGTTAAAAAAATCTCTCTGTGTCAGACTAAATGGATATTACTTTTTAATTTGTTGAATGTGTTTGTCGTCAGTGTTAGCTGTTGCGTGTGTGTTTTATACATATTTCTGTTTGACTTTATTCCATCACTCTATTGAATTGAGCCTCACGGAAATAAACCATCTATCATACATAATATGTCAATTGAATGTACAACAACCCTGGTTGATGAAATTGACAGAAATATTCCAGTCCAAACATTCTCTAAAACAGTCTTAGTTTCAATTCATCTCGGTACAACTTAAACATTCAGCGCATAAGAGGGCAATACGAATTTTTGTCAAAACTACACAACACCATCAAATTGTTAATAAAGAGTATCTCAATTTATACACATTTGAATATAGACGTACAATAAATCAAGCCATAAAGATCTTAAAAATAGACATCAAGCAGTATGGGATGTTACAAAAACAAAAAAAAATGAAAATCCAGCACACAAGCACGACTCTAAGCGCATCTGACTTTAATTTTCATTTTACTAACATTTTAAAGAATCTAGTAGACCAAATTCCACCTGCAGCTTCAACGCATACGAGCTATATGCATGAGGTGACTCATACAAAAGGTTTCGTTCTTAAATAGGTTACTTACAATCAAGTCAGGGCAGCGGAAAATAGATTAAATAAATCTAAAAGGCTTGATGTTGCCGGTTTCAATGCAAAAATTATTACAACCATTCAACACGTTATTATTATACCATTAACAACGTTATTCGATTGGTGTGTTTCAAATGGTATATTTCCAGATATTTTCTAATTTTCGAAATAATAATAATATGCCTTTATTTTACCTGGCGGGTGTATCAGCTAATAGCTGCTTTTGGTACCAACCAGGCACCGGATTATAGATTTAAAACGTACCTTATCAAGAAAGCTTTCTATAATGTCGAATAACTTTTAAGTAATAACTTTTGTTATTTGTTGTTCTTTACAGTTTTCTGTTAATGTTGTTCTTTCTAGAAAAATTAGTTGTTTTGTATTTTAATCTCTACTTTAACCTGTGTAAGCCCGAAAGTGCATTAAACACCAATAATGAAATGAAATGAAATGGTACCTTCATTGTTTTATATAAATAAGAACCTGTAATTGTGATTTATGCTCATTATATATTTACATAACTGAAAACAAAATCAGGCTAATAGTAAGGTTGAGGAGGGATGAGGTTGAGGAATCCCTGGCCAAGATAGTATCCGAGAGCCTGCAGTGCTCCAAGCCCACCGACGATTGGGATCAATCCAAGAGTAAGTAAGATCGCATTAGTGATTGGCCCAACTTTCTGGATGAAGAGTCCCGGATTAGTTAAAGCGTTGAGTTTCAGCAGCGGTGTCGTTAACGTAGCCAGAATGACTGAAATCAGAATAATTTCGACGTGAGTGGCTTTGGAAATTTGTTAGCATTCGCTTTTTTCATCAGAATTTTCCTTTTCCAAATTGACTTAAGCATAGATTACATATCTTGTGCGTAAGTCAGCAAAATCCAAGCACAAATATCTTCAAGGTAGACACTAGGCTAACACTTATTCTCCACTTTCAACCTGTATGCTTGACATAAGCGACAAAACATGTCAAAACTGTTTATCTGTGATCAAGTTAAAATAATAAAATCTTGTCGTAGAAATCTTTGCATGTACGACAATCCAAAGTCACAGGTCAAGTATTCAATACGAATACTTCAAATCAAACATAAGCAATCCTTTGGGTGATGATATAAGATTTTAATCCATAAATTGCATTTACAAATGACCTAAGCAAGCAAAGTCAAAATCTGTACCGTGGTGCGATGTGAGTCGATTCTTAATATAAATATATTAATATTTTTTTTTTATTTTAGCAGTAGATTAAACTCAATTCAAGTTGTCAGCAAAGTAAATACAACTCATGAGCTGAATTCAAACAGAAAATATTTATTACTATCAACATATTCGTAAATTCGGCGGATCTTATTTCTGAAATATTATTCCGTCCCAATGTTTGTCATCTCTTCGGACACACTCTTCATATCGTGCGCGCAAATTCCGAAACACTCTTTTGAGTTCCGGAATAATGCTGTTTATTTCCTGTCGAATGTTGTCTTTAAACTCTTCCAGTGTTCTTGGATTATTGGAATATACCTGTGACTTTAGATAACGGCACAAAAAATAATCGCATGGCCTGAGGTCGGGTGACCTAGGCGGCCAGTGGATGTCTCCAAACTTCGATATAATTTTTTGAACCTGTTGAAATAATGTGTTTCTGTTACCATATCATATCCTTGTATTGCTCGGAATGGACTGTCAATGCCTGACCGTTTTCATTTTCATAGAAATATGGTCCAATAATACCGTTAGAGGATATGGCGCACCAAACAGTCACCTTTGGACTATCTAGCTTGATGTGTGTTGATGATTCTTTTTTAGGTTCGTTGATGTCCAATATCTGCAATTTTGCTTGCTCACATAACCGTCTAAGTGGAAATGGGCTTGATCACTGAAAACAACGTTCAGCACAAGATTTCCGCAATACGTAATCATTTTTCTTTATACCATTGAATGATTGGATTTTATAAAGATAAAAACCCATTTTCTTATGAATTCGGCAGAGGGTTTGGTGTGAGAGTATGAACTTGCCATTGACTAAGCTATACAAGAGCCAACTCTGGAAGGCTGTTTCGTGTTTTTTAGCTAGCCGACAGCATGACCTAGGCTTGGTCTATCGTTTCTGGGACGACGTCGACTGGAACTACAAAAGCGTTCTTACTCAGTACGCAGGGTATGATTATGCGTTGGATGAAGTGCTTATGGTCCTTATTGTAAATGTAGCTTAAGGATTGCACGTTACTTACTCGCACTAAGAAGCTGGGAGAATGCATGATCCAGTCCCGTGAATTCTAGAAGATCAAATGTAGAATTAACATCAAGCTCGTAAACATTAGGTGGAATACTTACTTTCGATAGTGGCAAATATGCTGATGATGACAGCTAAACAAAGAAAAATATTAGTGGATTTCGGAAAAGTGTACTTGCTATTCGACTAAGTCTTCGATATTCAAATTTATCCACTTTTCGATAAAGATGCAACAGCTGAAGCAGTTTATAGATTCAGCATTTTTTGATTTTGTTTAACTACCAGAAGGATTAGCATGGCCTTGACCTAACTTACACTCATTGATAATAAGTATGTATGTTACTAGTTCGGTTTTAGGTTGAGTCAGTGATCGCTTAGATCTCATGAACGATGATGAATATCATCCAACTTATCTGACAAATTTTAACCACATATGCACTGTTACGAAAGAAATTGATTTCTCAAAAGAAAATGTAAAAGTGTAAAACTAGCATTTCGAGTATTTTCTTGCAACAACCACTCACAAAATCTTACTCTTAGGAGGTAGTCTGTAGGTAGCAACGCCTCGACTTTCTGGATGTGGTAAGGAGGCCTCATGTAATATGCGCCACAATATCCAAAATTTCGTCTTCGGCATTTAAAACGCGTTGTGGGTGAAGCCGACCCCCATCCGCTCCACGTCTGGGGCGCAAATCTCCACCAGCACGTGCACGTAAAACAACTGAACTTAATGTTTCGTGTTGTGGTATGTGCCTATTTGGAAATCGGTGTGCCGCGAGAAGCCGCTCGCGAATTTAGCCCTGCTTCTCCATACGCTAGAACAATGTCCACTAACTCCTGATTAGTGCCATTTTTATTAATAAATAACTAAAAACATAAACTCGCAAAATACTTATTTAACTCCACAAAAATCGACCGTTCTTCATTCAGATCACCCACGATACAGATTAAGCCTTATTTACACGTTATCAGTATAAAACAAATTCCTGGTACTTTGTTTTCGTCAGTTGTTTGGTACAAAATTTGCTACAGTAAAATGTTAATGCGTGTTCTAATATCACGACGATGAACGCAAAATACAGATATTTATTTTTCAATTTATTATTGAAACTCAGGTTTATAACTTATTTTCTGTAGGACTTTTTTTTTTGAGAAATCAACTTCTTTCATAACAGTGCATATGTGGTTAAAATTGTGGTTGTGAAACACCCTGTATATGCTAACGAGATCACAGTCGTATAGAACAAATAGGAGGTGGGGTGCTGCTTCTACGCCATTCTTGCTTTGCGATTAAGTAATCCAAATTTTCCTGTGATTTCTCAAATTCTGGCATTTTTTTAATTTCTGAGATATATCTGATGGCGTGGCGGAAGCACGTGTAAGGTCATCATGCTGGCATCTGACTTTCAAGAGTACATGAGGGAAACATGATTCTCAATACGTTGAGTTTCTATGGAGTAGAGAAACTTACTGTTAACTGCATCCCAAAGCTCCGCGATTGCTGCTTCGTCTGCAAATTCGTTGGTTTCGGCTGCAATTATTACAATTGATATAAGTAACATAACTCTGCAGATTTGTAAGTATTAAGCCACATCACTACAAACTAAACTGAACATTCACTTACCGAGACCTGCCACACCTGCAGTCTGTTTAGCAACTGAAATTAAAATAAACGTTGATGAAAGTCATACACACTACTAACGTTTGCCATAAAACTTTTGACACAAAATTCATTGACTTAATTTCAACAAACACAAAATAATATCAAGTTGCCTTTATGATGTCGTATGAATTAGAAATAAGAAAAAGTGTCTACTAGTTGATAGAAACATAAAGCAAACTTTACAGATTAAATCCTTGTCTGGTGCGCAATTTCTGACAGGGGTGTATCCCAACCTTTTGTAGGAAGAGTGAGTGGTAAAGTTTTGAATAGTTAGAGCCATATTGATAACTGCCTTTCCAAATTGCTTCAGTTTGCCCACGAACATCGTGGCCATGTTTTGGTCAGACCTAGTATCATGCCATTACTCAAGAGATACCCAAACCCGGATTCGGCAACAGAACATACATTTTGTTCCAAACAACTGTCTAGGATGGATTATTATGGGGGCTTGGAAGCCAACAATTAAGTCGGCGAATTTATGAAAAACTGAGAGAAATTGATCTGAATTCCGAGATATTCGAAGAAAGTTGCGTCTGGTAGAGCAGAATGGGTCACTCCACATAATTCGATAGTATAGTTTAGTTAAGTATTGAGTAGTAATTTATAACAGCTAGTGATTGTTTAAGTAAATTTCTTCATTAAAAGAAAATCCGATAAATATTTTGTGCCAAAACTCTTGGGACATACGCTATTTCACAATAGTTATCAACTCATACTCCTTGAAGCATTAGCTTCGGCTTTGAAATCTGATATAATTTTATATTTCTGCAGTAGCTTCACAAATATTACGTCACCACGTTTGTGGTTCCACATGAACATGGTGAATTTTCAGTGTGCCATCGATCTATGGCTCCGTTATTATATACGAGTAATCACCCTTCCAAATAACAATTTGTGTTTTAGTAATGTCCTAGCAACGTTTTTTCTATAAAATAACAACGCCTCTATAGACGTTGTAACATCGCTCATAAGCTCAAAAAGGGCTCACTTTTTTGACCAATATAGTTCTTTAATTTGTTCTGTTATGACTCCCACAGCTGAGACGAGTTCGTGTTTTAATGATCCTGGATGTATCAAAAAGCAAACAATACCAGACAGACAGAAATTCGATTTTCATTATTTTTTGTATATGTACCAAAACTTTCAAGCTAGATTAGTTACTACTAAATTTTGAAGAAACTGTCAAAATTTCGCGGACTAAGATCTAGACAGTTTGGTTGCAATTCCTTGTATCGCAGTGATCAATTTTCACCTATGTCGCTTCGTGCTGCCATACTTCGATAGATACCATTTAAAATAACGGAGCTATCGTTCGATTACGCGCTGAAAGCTCTCCCTATTATGAAAGGCACATATTTCGAACTGATGGTTTGACTCACTTCCTTTGACAGCTTTAGCTCCTACTAATGGATCAGTGGCACTTGCTGTAAAGTAAAAAGTAGATTAAAAAAAACAGACATAGTCACGCCCGACGAATTCGAATAGGTTATATGTTTACAGTGCATCGTTTATTATCAAAATTGTGAAATTTTAGTGCATACCTTTGCTTACGATTGCCTACCATAGCGACAATCCAATATATCAGCCTACTTTTTCTAGACAGGATATTCAAGCAGCCAGAGCAGAAATACCGTGTTGCGATGGGAGTTGCTTAGTAGCTCAGCTATTGTTATTAAACAGGGACGAATTAAATGAGGAAAACATAGGAAATTCTGCCTAATTCGTGATTTTGGAAGGTGAAGAGCGGATTTCGCCAACATTAATATTTGAAAGTCACTTGAACCAATTGGAAAGGACTTTATCGAAATGCAAATTAACGGAAGCTGTCAGAGATCTCCGAACAAGAGTACCTTTTAATTCTAACATGATGCTTTTGTACAGAGAAAACGGGTCAACTTTCATGTATTTTGCTATTTCTTATCAATTTACAAATGACAAAGGACCAAGAAAAATGCAAGAAATATTAGATCGATCTTCTAGCCATTATATTTAATAGGATGTTTTAACAGTCTTTGACGACTGTTACAATCTAGTTTTGTCTCAGGATTTGTACATGATACGTAAAAATGGATATAGCAGGTATTCCAGCATCCTTTGTTACATCAAAAAGAATTAATCATCTAGAAAACCACACATCCTAGATCTTAGGTCTTAAATCAATGATATTTGTAAATGTAACTGCATTCACCTATTATTCATCGTCTAGATACTATTACAAGTCAGAATCAAAAATAACTATTTAGGAAAATGTTTGCAAAACTCGTTGTTATTTCTCATTTTTATTGATCTGGAACTCGTCTGGAATCTCAATTACTTTTGGAGTGTTCTGCATTGTTGACGAACGAGAAAAAAAAAACGGAATCGGTAAATAGTGTCGTTGAATTCGGTAGGGGGAATGTCGAACACATGCTTCAATTCTACTTGGTTTTTCTAAATAGTTGTGATTCGAGTTGATTTTAAGCTAAAATAAAATATGAAGCATAATATGTAAATGACTGTTATGATATCGTTGTCACTGTGTTTCTCCAATAATGAAATTTGGGTGAAATTCAACAAAAATATCCATAGCAATTTCATAATCATAATTTCTTTAGGCGTACTGAGCTTCATAGAATCTCGTGGTGCTACAGTGAGAACGTAAAAGTACTAAGTACTTATAACGCGTAAGTAAAGACCTTCAAGATTCAAAATTAAGGTGAATAAAAGTTGAGTCTTGAGTCTCAATCTTTCAGGATTGAGCTTCAGTTGTCCCTTACATCCAACAAAATACTTGGTTTGTTTCAATCTTTATTTTAGGCTAACAATTTTGCTATAAACTGGGTCTGCGCACTCAAAGTCGCCAGTGTTGATGTATTCGCAGCACCGATGGACTATAATATATTAACACTTATCGATAAAAAATCTCTTATCTATTTTCTGCAAAAACCTTCGCCAATTTGGGCATTTGTCTGAAACACTAGCTTGAATGGAACCGACGCACCTTTACAAGTTTTTACAGAAAAACGCTGATTTAATGCGAAATGCCAAGAGCTGTCAAACTGGCGTCTTAAGCCTCATCGACTCGAAGAATTAACTTGCATTCTGATTGCTGGTCCAAAACAACTCGCATGCTTGCTTCTTCTGCCTAGTCCGAATTTGTTTTAATGTATTGCCATAATACTAAAACTTTTTATAGCCATCCAATTGAAACAAATTCTTATGAGGTCATGACGTGATAACGATGAACCAGGCAGGCAAGTGATAACCATTTTTTTTTCACTACTAACCCGCGACCTCACCATTATTGTCTGTAAGGTGAGTAATTAAAAAAACATCCAGGTAATTAATAATGTCTTTTGAAATTATGTCCTGTCAATGTGATTGTGTCAGCCTGACAACTGAGCCGCATATTTACAAATATTTGAAAACACTTAACAAATACCAACGTTGAGTATAGCTCAGTTCTTCTTGATTACCCCAATAATCACCAAAGCATTGAAAAACGGTTTTCAATGTTAGCAGGAGGAAAACTTTTGGTACATTATTAAAAGCCGGTATAAACGAAATCGACTGTCAGCTAGATATTTGTATTTGTAAAATAATTCGGAAACGTGATGGTGATACATATGGTATTTTCATCAGATATGTGATGTGCTAAACTGGTCAGCATAGAAATCTTTCATTTTATTATTGTCAATATTTACTTACATGATACCAGGCCTATTATAACGATGGCTGCAGTGAAAAGCTGAAAATGAGCGAGAATCATACAATTTTATTGGAGATAGTAAAGTCTATCACAAGCCTGATGACATAGTTTGCTTGAATATATTTATGTAATTACCTTCATTTTCCTATAAAGTTGCAAGATGCCACAAGGTATGCTGGTACTTGAACCTGACTTGAAACTAATTTTCGCTGGACAAAATCTGCAATAAGCCACGAAACACTGATAAAGTTACTGTTACTAAGGTGCTTTAAGTGACGGTCTTTTCTTAGAAGTATTGCTTCCATTCAGGTTTGAAAATCAATTTTATTTCAAGTAGTACCAATTAATCCTAAGCTCAACTTCTACTGATTTGCTAATCGACTGTAACTGTCAGAGGTTTGGATGATTCTGACTTAATAAAAAATATCTCTCGAACCTGGAGTAGGTAGCTGTTAAATAAAGCTAACATGACAAAGTGATATCCATAAAACTGTTGCGCAAAGATATTATCATCGGAAGTATTCAGTCCAACAAGATCGTACTGTCAAGAATCAATCTTTCACAATTATCCATCGCGTGAAATTGGAACTATTCTAGATGAGGGAAGAACATTTTCGCATAATAGTTGCTAGCAGCCTTGAGGCTGATTGACATCTTGTCATGTTAATGATGGTGGGGGAATCTATCTGATTATACAAGGTGGCGCAAAAATAGTGTCATAATTTGAGTTCGCCGCCATTTTTGCGGAAGGCGGCGAATGTCACTGTGCTTTAACATTTATCATGCAAATATAGAGAATTAGTAGCCAACCAGCCATCAGCAGTTACCGTTCTTATGCATTCTTGTATTCTATGTTCTTTTAATATCATCTATGTATTTTATTTATATAATTTGAACATAAAGATATTTTATTCTGTGACTACCACGTATTTCAAATGTTAATATTTAGCTAAATGTTTGTCTATTTTATATTTCAATGTTTGTTTGATTTTGACTGTTTTGCACTAATGTGCGTTATCTACTCATTTATTTTCTGTATACTTTTTAATCTATCGTTTCCACTGACGTGTACTATGTCATCTCATGATGATCTAATAAAGAAATGAATGAACGTATGAAGTGATACCCACCTTAAGAAAGTGGGACTATTGTTACTGCTTATTTGACAAATTTTGCTGTTTTAACGCAGCGTGAATTCCGTCGTCGTCTTTCTCGTCGTCGTGTTCCATGTGCTCGATCAATCAAGCGTTTGGCTGAGCGCCTAGTGCAAGCTGGATCTTCTACAGACGTAGCAAGAAGTAACCTGCATAGTATTGCTCGTACCGCCAAGAACATCGCTGCTGTTACAGAGAAATCTACAAACATTTTCGAGGCGACGATATACACGATTAGGCATCAACAAACATTCTTTGCGGCGAATTTGGTGAACGATCTGGAAAGGTACCTCTAAAAAGTGCAAACTGTTAATAGATTGCTGCCTGCTGACTTTGTTAAACATAGTGCATCAACAATCATAATGAGCGGCGACACCTTTTTCCACGGTTATGTTAATAAACAAAATCTGCGTTTCTGGAACTCAAATAATCCACATGAAATGCATTTACTTAATGTGATTAGACACCGTTGTCACCACCGTAACCGTAACTGGTGAGCGTTGCAGATAGATGCTAAACGAGTTTTTCGCTGCGTTGTGTCTCGATCATTGTTGGTTTCAACAGGACAGACCAACCTCTCACACAGCTTCGGCAACGACGGAGATTTTGGAACATCAACATTGAAGAAGATCTAGCCAATGTAAAGCCAGATGTTTTGCGAACAACAATTCAAAATGCCGTAACACAACTGGGGAGGTGGCTATACTTTTTTCCAATTAATGTCATTAATTTTACACTTCCCAATGAACTTCCAATGGAAATACAGCTCGTTTTTATCCATATAAACTGGCAGCCAGTTTGAATCTTGACATTACTTTTGCGTCTGATAAGAAAAAGAAAAGTGTTGAAGCAGGTGCATCTAGATACCGGTACATCCAGCAAAGCGTATTATGAACAGCTTTGTCGATATTTTCGAACGTGTCGCAGATGAAGCGTCCAGATTAGCACATTACAACAAACGCGCCACGATAACCAGCACATAAATTCAGACGACCCTATGGACCGAAACCAAGAACAGCAGTTCGAAATAATATGTGAGATAATGGAGAACGGACCTCTCGATGACTGAATACAACAAAACAAGAATCTAGCGAAAATCGAAGTGGATAATTATATGGTATCACGTGTGAAGAGGGTTACTGGAAGAGAATATGGGTCATGCCAAGAAAAAATGTTCCGCTTCATTTTATTATTTACGAAATGCAGGGTTATTTTTTTCAAGTTATATTCTCGCTAAACGAATGAAACTTTTAGCAATGAAACACATTAAATTTTTGAACACCAAAATCGAGCGAAAAATTTTCAAAAATGTAAGATGTTTTGACTTGGAGTTTATGGCGGTCTTAAAACATGTCAGAACAGATCCTTACACACATTCGGCACAAGGTTTCAAGGTCTGTGTTGTGTGAATAGAGGCGATCGAGGTAAATAGTAAATTTTTAGTGGTTTTATTAATAACTTGAAGATCGTCTGCCCGATTCTTGTGTTCAAAGATGTAAGCTGTGAGTGTTTTAGGTCTAAAAAAGGCGCTAAGGCGGTAAGAGATACGAAATCGGCTATATGCAGGCAAAGTTGCGCATTTAGAAAAGGGCACGTCACAATTCCGATTAATCTCGGAGATAGACGACCGAAAGCGAAGTTTCCCGAAAGTACATTAACATTATGACATTTTATTTTCGACGCCAGTGGCCGAGAGAGTTATGCAATCGGGCCAAAACCGAAAAAATAATTCGGTCAAACGTCATTTTTTGATGTTTCAGAGCTGTCTGATGTTTTTAAAATTTGTATCGACAAAAAATTGAAGTTGTGTGGTTGTGAGGGTAGTAGCAGTGGGGGGAAGGAGAAGTCTGGAAATTAAGCCACCCTTGACCCTTTTTCTCGACCCCTTTGTATGATCACTATACCTTTCCACGTCTACTGGTAACTGATATAATAAGCCAGCTCCGGCGTTGAGATATACCTATCATTAATATTGCACGGAACTTCTTCTTCCTGACCTGATTTTCTCTTATGACGCGTTGGAATTGCTAAGTAGCTCTTTCCTAGATAGATCTGAGAGAGACGTTTTTGATACAGACTCTTCGCCTGGATGTTTGATTTCTTCGGGAGTACCACGAGGCTCAGCGCTTGGACTGGTTCTGTTTCTTTTGTGCATGTCTGATTTGCATCAAGGTATAAAGTACTACAATATTTAATTTGTTGCAGATTACTATATCTTAGCTTTGAACTCAGTAATATGAATACTGCTTAGGTTCAGATATCAGAAGATCTGAAATCTATTGAAACTTATGGCACCAAACCTAACCTTCAGTTATATCCATCTCAGTCTAAGGTACGAATTCTCCTCCTAAAGGTCTTAGAATTCATTACAAAACAGCTGAGTTATCAAATTGACGAACGGAAAAAACTGTTGATGAGAACCTCACGTAAATTACATTACTAAAGGATGATTTGTCCTACGTCAACTATATCTTAACAAGCTTGATTTTCATACTAAAAATATCCTATGTGAAACAATGATTATGTTAAAATTCACTTACTGCAACTTAGAATATGATTTATTTTTAGATTCTATATCCGTAAGATGCTTGCAAAAAACCTAAAACCAGTTGTAAAACTGAATTAGTTAATTATAACAAAATTACTTGTTACACCTTGAAAGGCTTTTTACACAAAGTTCTCGCAACATTTTCTACATTTTTGAAAGTCAAGCTAATATTTCTTGGAATAAATAATATTCCTTTTATAAATATGTTAACCATGCCTCTTCACAAGACATAGATCATCTTCCATAAGTGCTTTATTTATAATGCCATTATACTATAAAGTATCACCACTACTGACTAAAAAGCTTCTAAAATTCAACGATTCCAAAAAACAAGCCAAGACAGTTATTTTTGAACAACAAACTTAAAAACTATCATCACACCTCATTGTAAGTTCCTTTAAAATACGGTTCAGAGGGTGGGACCTATCAACATATGTTAAATAAGAACTTGCCAACAGACAAAAATCACGGCATCTGAAGTGATTTGGCACTTTACAAAAATTTCCGTTCCATCCATCGACACTGACACCACCAACCTTCTGTCATCTCTCAAATTTTTCATCCTACTTATGATCCTGTGTCACATCATTTTGTACAGCATCAGGTGGTTCACGCTGTGATTTTAACTTTCGTTTTAAATATTTTTAATCCATTTTAATTTGTTCCTGACAAACAGCAGTGTGTAGTTTATATTAATTTCGACGAATGTACCATGTATCCAGCTTTTACCAGCTTACTGGGTGTTTCCCTCAACTTAAACGTTAATAACATTTAGCATACTACTGTAAGTTAATTTAAAATCATTTTGCACAATACTTGCTTTTTCTTCTCAATGTTATTGCAGCTCCTGATGAAAATGGCAAAGTCCATTGAAAGCTAGAGTCTAATAAAGTATAAAGAGTCCTCATTGCTTGAATTTTGTAGTACCCAACAAAAGGCAGAAGCTTTATTTTTCACCTATATATAGATAGATTTACACCGCAGGATTTGAAGATGCTGTAATCCTCAATTATGTATATTCAATGAAGATTCAGAAGGAAATTGTATAAAATATCAAATATAAAGGGTGGGCCATCTATCGGTTTCGATTTGAACCACGTGTTAATTTGACGCTGACAATACTTATGTCAATCTGATTTGTCATAAAATTCAGTATATTATCTCCGCTGAACGAAATGAATCGATTTACGCTTGAGCAACGTTGGGTAATATTGGAAATTTATTTCCAAAACAAAGACAATTGGGCAGAAATTGCACGAAAATGCCGTTCAAAATTCGGTCGCAACGAAGCACCAACAGCGCCCGGTATACGCAAGTTTATTAATAAAGTGCGTGAAACTGGTTTCATTGTTGATGCTCCAACACGTCAGCGTGCTCGTACAGTGCGTACACCCGAAGGTATCCATGCTGTGGCTGCGAGTGTGCGTGAAAATCCATCAACGTCAACACGTCATCGTTCCCAAGAATTGAACATTTCCCGCACCAGTTTACGACGAATTTTGCGGAAAGATCTCGGTATGAGGCCTTACAAAGTTCAATTGGTTCAAGAGTTGAAGCCGCGTGACCATCCACTTCGTTCTGCCTTCGCTACATGGGCCAACGAGCAACTAATCAATGATGTCGATTTTGCGAAAAAAATAATCTTTTCAGACGAAGCTCATTTTCATATTGGTGGCTACGTCAATAAGCAAAATTGCCGTATCTGGGGCTCGGAAAACCCACACGAGGTCTTAGAGAAGTAAATGCATCCCTTGCGAGTGACTGTTTGGTGTGGATTGTGGAGCGGAGGCATCATTGGCCTATATTTCTTTGAAGACGGGGACGGCGCAACCGTTTCTGTCAATGGAAACACCTATCGCACCATGATAACTGATTTTTTTGTTCCTGCTCTTGATGGTATTGATGTGGAGAATGTTTGGTTTCAGCAGGATGGTGCAACTTGTCACACATCGCATGCCACAATCAACTTATTGCGCGAAACCTTCGATGGCCGTTTAATCAGTCGAAATGGTGATGTCAATTGGCCGCCAAGAAGCTGCGATTTGACACCATTGGACTATTTCCTGTGGGGCGCTGTTAAAGACAAGTGTTATGTCGACCATCCAGAGACAAGTGACCATTTGAAGGCCAACATTCGTGATGCCATTGACGAGATACGGCCCCAAACACTCGAAAAAGTGCTCGAAAATTGGTCCGATCGATTGGGCTACTGTGAGGCCAGCCGCGGCAGCCATTTGAATGAAGTAATATTTCATTTCTGAGCGGAACAATTGTACTTCAAAACAAAAAAATAAATTTGGCAATATCTCAAACCGTTTTTGTTTTATTTTATTTTTAAATCGAAACTTTTAAATGGCCCACCCATTACAATATCAAAACGTCCATACATTATTTTTGTCCAAGTTTGACAAAATCTTTTTAATTTACAAATAATTCATAGTTGTTCCCGGCGTGGCACTTTGCTATCACATCTCGTGCAAGTGCCTTTATCAGCATGATACACCTTAGAATTAGAAGTGCAGCGTAAGAGACAATCGACACGATATCAAACTGATACTGCAACTGTATGCAGTACACCAAGCAAGACAATATGGAAACGAGCTTTATATATTTCTTGTTGCGTAAGTGAAGTTAGGGACTGGGATTCCTCTATAGATGTATCATCAGTTGTGAAACCATTGGATATGAAGTACTCTTCAATAGACACGAGAAATACACTTGAAGTAGATACATTTATTTATTATATTGATACACATCAAAATGAAATTTGTGCATGGTCCTACTGAATGAACTTATTAGCTGCAATAATAACATTATGCAGCACATCGACACCAAACGCTGCAGTTAAGGCTGAGCCTGGAAAAAAAGAGTTGCCAAAGAATGCAGCTAAGGGTGTCGCCCACAGGCGACTGAGAGAGAATAGCGTCAGGAGAGGAAGTGCCGCGATTACGATGAATGGCGCAAAGAAGCCTATGTTGAACCTGAGCTTGAGCAGCTTGAGCAGAGCAGCAATTTCTGGCTTGACAACTGAAAAGAGAAAAGATTAAACCATTATAAAGCTCAACTTTATTTGCATTAGGTCGGTTATAGTCTTCTTGGAGTTAAAAGGAAATCATCAGCATCAAGTAAATGTTTTGTTCAGCGCGTACGGGATTCCGTATCTTTACTTTTTCTTCAAGCGGTCCTCTGTAACGCTTGTCTAATATCAAAGCACGATTCCGTCCCTATTTCTTTCTCAAAACTTCTTTCACAATAATAGCCCACACTGCTCTTTCAAGGTGTTGAAGGAACGTAGACAAGCGTTTCTGAAGAACATTTTATTCTATACAGAATCGGATAGTAGTCTTAATGCGTCTCGGTTTTTAGGAACAACATCATTACAACATGTACCTTTACCCCTAAATTTCTCGTATCCTGTTGATAGATCATTGAAGCATAAAGCTAAAGGATTAAATTTCCTGCAAAGCACTCGCGAACTGGCTACTTTTTTAGGATTTGCACGCTCAACGGTACAACGAATTTTGAAAGACAATAAATTTCACCCGAATAAGATACAACTTGCCCATGAGCTTAATGAAGACGATTTAGATAGAATTTTGGAACTAATGTCACAAAAATGCAAATCTTTTTTTTGAACGTTTTTTTTATAATATTTGTAAAGTATTGTAAAGTATCTGATAATAGGTTAAAAGAGCGAATTGCAGCATATCTGGTGAGGGTTCGCTGCTATTTCTAATACGATAGTCATGGATAGCACAATTTCTTCTACAGGTAGCTAGATTCTGCCCAGTGTACACAAGGAGTTTAACATGATATATTCGCACAACTTTCAAAAAATGACTTTCAATAAACGCATTGCAGCATGAGTCAGTAGCTCCTCCGGAACTTACCGATTAACGACCACCAGAGTAAGTGCAATCAAAGACGTCATGCGCTATCCTAGATGCGGTGAACTCGCGAAAAGTATTGCAATATGTACTGATAGGTTTAAATTTCCATATCCACAGCTTGGATTAGAATTGAATTAGCCTGGACGATCGATAGACTTACTTCAACACATAATATTGTAGGTAGCAGATTTATTATGGTATAAGTAAATATAAGGGCTAATAGGGCTTACATACAGCCAACTTTCTGGAGTTCATTTTACTATGTGCGCATTCGTTTTTCATAGAAAACATGTTCCATAATTCAAAAATAAACAAACGTACTGTACATAACAATTTTGTTTAGCTACCCAGTACGTTGCTAATGACCTGTTAAGAAAAGTGCATGTACTTTATGGAAATTTTGAGCTGCTAAAAAAAATCCAGGCACTAACTATTCTTTCTTATCTTTTTATTGGAAATCTCTTGTGTCTCACTCACACTCAAACTAACAGACCCTAATGGCTCCTAGTCTTTCGCGGAAATAACATCATATCTGCTACATGATGTTTGTGATAAGCTTTTATCCGAAAATCAAACAACCTGGTGGTTAGCAAGACCCTTGTCCTTACCTGGAAGTCCATATCCGAAGGGAAATGGTGTTGTAAACTTAGCTACCGCAAATGGAGCTGGCAATAGGGCAGCAACAGCCGCAGGGGCAACAGCAGCAGGAGCAGCAAGCAATACGGGCGCAAGTGCGGAAAAGATGGCGAAGAATATGGGGAAGGAAAGAAACAAGGGAAGGTTAAGTTTGGTAAGCACTGCAGGGAGGGAGGAGATAGCAGAGGAAATAATGGCTGGAGATGCCTCGGCAATGGCGACTGGAGCAGCCTCGGCAGCTACAAGAGGGACAACGGCATCGCCCTGGGCACCAAGCAGCGCTAGGACGGCTAGCACTGGGATGGCCAGCTTGGCCGGATCAGCAACTGAAAAAATAGTAGTCTGTTATGCAATTTTAGCCACCAACATTAAATACTAAAAGCGTCTGCGCCTCGATAATGGTTGCTAAAGTAGTTTTAATCATTCTACCTTCTTATGTACGAAAATTGCCTTATTAGTCGCAGACTCGGTTGGAGACAATGCCGCATGGTTGATGATGACTTCAACGAAAATCTTGTGAACTACATATATTACAAACTATTTAAATGATGCGGTTTTAGTTTTGCGCCATTTTTATGAAATAATTTTGTCGGTGGCGTTGGGTGACTAGTAAATGATGATTTCTAATTTTTTGTTTTGCTTAATCTGAGTTGTATCCTCACTATGGAAATAGCTTATCAGAACTGGGTTGTTTGGCTAAAATGACCATCGTATCGGTTTACTATTATAGATGGGACGGCATCCGTGGACAATGCCCCTCAAAAGAATTTCCAGAATGAATAGAACAAGGCTTAAGCGATGTTTTCCGTCTCTTGTCCAAATAGGCCCACGATAATGACTAATACGGTTTTCTGTGATGACTCGTGTCCATGTCAAACCCTTAAAAGACGATATCCAAATTGCGGAGTGACGGACAAAAGAAAAACGAAAAAGAAGCGCTCGAACTTCGTTTTTCGAAGTTTTTTCCTTTGATAGGTTGGACATTGGGGGTCGGAAGTTGAGTTGTATTGAATACTGCGTCTACGGTATCAGTATTAGTGAATGACGTGTTATTATCTGATACCCCAGTATTGTGCAGCTCCCCCTCCCGTCTCCAGAGTCCCAAAGCATAAAACGTTTTTTCTCATATAAAACAGCAATACTATTTTTCTTAATAAATGTATACATGTTTGTAATTTAAAATTTAAATATGTCGTTCACTTGATGTGTACTCCTTGTGTAGCTGTTCGGGTTGCCTAAACGTATTGACGCTTGAGCTATCGTAAAAAAATTGCGCGCGGCCTACATCCCCCAGAGAACAACTGAGTACAGACACAGTAAAGATTGGTTAACGTATCCCACCAGAATGACCACCTATGCATACTGTGTAAATACGTGACGACCATTCCCTTTTTTATTTTTGAGAAATGATACAAATAATCATGTGAGAGGTTGATGGGTGATTTGTAATGTGCCAAAATCACATACCATTTTTTTAATATTTATATCACTTACTTCTCTTATTAGTGATAGCGTACTGCTTCCTTTGTCACACCTTTTTCGATAATATTCGATTGGCAAATTTCATAATTTATTGAGCTGGAAACTATCTAATCTTTTAATTACAATTTCACACATATTGTATCTTTCTTTCCTTAGCGACTCAGCATTGTGTTGACATCTTTTGGACACTATTTTATTCATTACTATCGTAGAAATTTCCTCATAAAATGTCCTTGGTCTCTCGTAAAGTTGGTTTCCTAGTGTCCGCGCATTCGCAACCAGTACCTTCCTACCTTTGACAATGATTGACAGTCAACTGACTGTCGGTTATTTCCCGCTGTGACCTCGGTTAAGAATGTGTGTCAGTCCTTATTTGGTTTTCAAAGTTTGGACTATTTTGCCTCAACAGTTCTAGTAACCTTTTTTGTGCCTGGGTGCTACTTTTTTCATTTTTATGGGATCCTTACCTCTGTAGCGTTGTGGCGCATTGAAGAAAACCACCATCCGTATTCCTCCAGCTTTGTAGCTGTTTTATAATCGGTTGTAGCATATTTTGCTGGGAACCGCCCATCTTTTTTGAGAAAAATCCATGATGTAAAATATTATTTTGATTAATTAACTCATTGTAAATTTTTCTTTCTGTTTGCCTTTGCTCTGTTTTTCTTATAAGAATGTACTTGGTTTTTTAAGTTCGAGTGTCTTAATGTGTAGTTTTCTCTCATAAAGAAAATAGACAGTATATTTTCAAGCAGTCTTTCTGTATTTATGGTTTTCTTTTTGCACCGTAAATTCTGAGTGCGAGGCAAGCAGTCCATACTTTGCAAAGTACCTTGCATCACTGTCCACTACTGGCCACTGCTGTTAATCAAGAAGCCTGAACTTTTGTGAGCTGAGGTCACCTCGAGTCCGCCTAGAGCCGTGACCGGAAGAAGACAACTATCCCTACAAGCTTAGGTTTAGGCGGTAAAATATTTGTACAACCTTCGGTCGCATACCACGGTATAGTTCTTGACTAGATTTTGAGAGTTTCCCCAGGTTTTACTGCAGGGTGGGCCAAAAGTTCCTGACTGATTTTAAAAATTCATAAGTTTTTCCCAAGTTAACAAATTTGATTTTTTTTTCAGCTTTACAAAGTAGAGCTCTGGATATTTCAGAATGGAGAGGCTTAATCTAATCCAAAGAACCAAAGTCGTACAATTTTACTATGAACATAATCATTCGATTGTAAATACCAAGAGAGCTTATCGAAGATTTTTTAATGTTCGAAACGCCCCATCCACTGGGGCTATCCGCAGCATTATTCGGCGTTTTGAAACCTAGCGTTCTGTATCGGACCTTCCCCGAATTGGACGACCACGTTTAGCTTTCACTGGAGAAAACATAGAGAGAGTAGAGGATAGTGTTCAGGAGGACCCCGAAACATCGACCAGAAGAAGGTCTCAACTCAATTAGGCCTCTCAAGAATATCCCTCAGAAGAATTTTGAAACATTTGCAGACGTTTCCTTACAAAATGCAAATGGTTTAGCACTTACGACCACAAGATTATGCACAACGACTAAAATATGCCATTCGTTTTCAGCAATTGGTTAGAGAGGAAGAACATATTTTAGATCGTCTCATAATGAGTGATGAGGCGCATTTTCATCTGAATGGTTTTGTGAATACGCAAAATGCAAGAAATTGGGGAAGGCAAAATCCAAGGGCTATACACGAGAGAGAATTACACCCCATTAAATGTACGGTTTGGTGTGGTGTTACCACCCAGGGTATTATTGGGCCTTATTTCTTTCAAAATGACGATGGAACTGCGGTGACTGTTACTGGCGACAGGTATAGAGCTATGTTTGAAAATTTTTTGATTCCAGCGCTTGAAAATAGACCTGATATGTCGTTCCAACAGGATGGAGCCATAGCTCATTCAGCTGGAGCCACAATCTCATTGCTAAGAGGCTTCTTTGGAGAACGTCTGATTTCAAAAAGATCGGCAATTGAATATCCCCCACGTTCCCCTGATTTAGCCGCGCCAGATTCTTATCTATGGGGATATTTGAAAGAAAGAGTTTACAGCAATAAACCTCGAACCTTAAGACAACTTATGGACAATATGATAATGGAAATTCGAGCCACAAATCGGGAAACATTGGAGGGAGTTATGGACAACGTCTTGGAAGGAATGTTGTGTGTGAAAGAGAAGATGGCCGTCACTTACGCGACATTATTTTTCATACTTAATGCGAAAAAAAACTCCAATAAATATATTTTATTTTTGTAAAAACTACATTAAAAAATATTAATGAATTAAAAAGGTTATTAAAGTTTAAAATAGGGCAGCTCCTTTTCGCAAACCCTGTATAAGCAAACCTTTCTTATTTTCTGATTTTATACGCTGAACACTGCGTCTTCAACGCATCTGCTACTCTCTTCAACACATATGAAGTGGGTAACAGGGTACCACTGTTTTTATTTTCTTCTCTAATAAATTTTGCACGTGCTGTCGGCATTTTCGATTGCATATTTCTGGGCATTGTACAATAAATTTATACCGAAGATTGATAACAGAACAACTCAAATTGCACGCCGATGTCAAGTAAACTGTCACTCTGACAAATATGATACGTAGGGACAAGGTTCTCGCGTTGGAGACACACAACTAAAAAAACGTATGTATTTCAGCTTACCGAACAAACGTTCACCCATAGGGGTAGGTTGCATGATGTATGAGGGAGATGGTGATATATAAAGGGATACTGGTAGTCTTACTTTGACCCACCAAGAACGGTGACTACAACTATAAACGTTTTGCAGGATCAATTGTCACGGCTTAATAATTTTATTGTACGGCAGTTTGGAGTAATATCTTTTTGAACTTGCACTCCAGTGATGGAACATATGGAACAATTGGTTAGTTTACGACTTGAGTCACTGACGCTCTCAGCCTCCACTACTCTCCGCTTTATTGAGCTACGCCATGACAGCTGTTTTGCTTTGACTCACCACTTGATTTTATTTATCGTGTTTTATAAATCTATTAATTTAAAAATAGAATTTGTTATGAAATGGAATTAAGTCGTTCTACTGCTTCTTAAGGAATTAACGCGATTCCGTTTGGCAACACGGCTGTGGAGGAGGAAACTGTTAGAGAACGTCGCATATGGCCGTTAACCAATTCAATAAACGAGTAGAAGGGGAGCAGCACCTTACCAGAAAGACCGAAGCGTAGATTTGAGGAACGTGAAATTATGAACGAAAACTAAAATATGTCTTTCATGCATTTATTAATACCACTACCACAATAGAAAATCATTCTACCTAAACAACGGCCTTCTTGGCTTTGGCAGCTGCTCCTTCGCCTAATGCCTTGGCGCCAGCTGCTGCAACTGGGACAGCTGCGTCAGCAAGAGCTTTCGCGGCCAAAACACCGCCTCCGATCACCGCAGCGGCGGTACCAGCATTCGCAACGGGAGCGAGAGGGAGAAGGCCCAAACCTAAACCTGGAACGTAGCGAGGTGAGTATTTTTGGCACGTTTGCATCCAATAACAAATACATGCGATCCCAGATGATTGGGATGATTTAATTTGTACCACAAGGCCCTGTTTCACTAATAAAAAATAAAATAAGGAACAACGAAATAGCCTCAGTCACCTATTCATAATCCTGATATTAAAAAAAAGATAGAATAATGTTCTAGTTCACTCTTGTCTCCTGGAACATTTAGTTGGCTCGTTGATTTTAGTCCACATACCGACCCCCAAGTAAAATGATAGATGGTGAAGATCAAGCCCGCTGACGTCTCGGCTAGATGCGTAGCATTTTTCAAGGTATAAACAGCATGGAGACTATGCGAAAAATATGCATATCAAAGATACTTTAATAATAAAGTGAAAACACTATTATGGTTGCGATTTTGTAATTACTTGGATGACAGGGTACAACAGATAAGGCCGATCGAAAAGCAGTCAGAAGTTAAAAGTGTCAATCAGTGAGTTCCCCAAGGATCAATCATTGGGCCTTTGCTATTTAATTATATACAAGCCAAATGACAAAACATCTTGAATTCTGTTCATTGCACATGTATGCTGATGACACTCAGTTGAAGCTCGAGAATAAATAAAGACTTCCCTTAAATACTTATGTACCTTATGTTGTATCGAAATGAGTCATAATCATATACGGATAATTTGTCTATAAAAATCAAAAATTCTGAATTAAAAATCGAAAACGCCGCTTAAAATCTAGGACTCATAATTGACAATAACTTGCGATATATTGGCAAAGGGCTTACTTTTCTCTAAAACTTATACATTCTCATAGAACTATATTACGTGTGAAACTAAAAGAATGCTTTGTATATCCCTGACCTGATCACAATTCTCATATGCTATTCCTTGCTTAGACCGTGAAATAACTCGAACACAAAGAGTTCAGAACACTTGTTTATGTTTTATCTTGGGTATACCTAAAAAATAAATTAGAACCCTTGCATGAATATAAAACACCATTCTGACGTAGTTACTTTTACCATGAAATTCTGTCCACCAAGAACTTATTACTTATACAATATAATTCGATACAAAGATAGTTTTTCGGCTCCGTCACATAAAACGTCTGTATACCAAAGAAGCTTGTATCTAGATTTAAGCAAGCTGTGAAAAATATGTATTTAGATGTATGTGATTAGTTGACCATGCTGCATAAATGTATTTTCAGTTTTTTGCAGACAGCATGTCTGATTTTGGAATTCGAGTAAGACATCTCGTAAATACGAGTAGCTGGTGTCAGACAGCACCTGGAAAGCACTGCATTAGGTAACAACGAATTCATAAAATGCTCTCACCAGGCCAAGGCTTGAGTCCGGGACCAAGAGGAAAGGCAGCTCCAGCGATTAGGGCGGGTACGGCACTCCAACCGATCGCTGAAAACAAAATTATATTCGGTGCTTCATTCAATACGCAACACCTCTGTAGGTTTTTTTTGGCCATACTATAAATACTATAGAATACCCAAGTTTTTGAAACCCAATTTGAAAGTTACATTATATTTATTAGCTGATTATATAACCTACCTGCGATAATGGCTTCAGCAACCGCAGTATCAACACCAAGGGTAGCTGCAAAAACATTGCCCATGTTAGAAATATTCTCCTACTTTCAAGTTATACAAGAATTAATTTTACTCCATTTATGATCAAGGCTCTTCCAATATGTGACCCCTGATTCGTAAAATGAATAGCTTTAGGAAACTGGCTATATTGTAGTGTAATATCTCAGACAGGAAAGTATATTCGACATAATGAAAAAGTGTAGATGTTTGTTGCTCAATCTCGCAAAAATGACTGAACGTATCTGTTCGTCAACAATAAAGGAGTTCGTAACATTACAAATATTCTATGTAAGCCCATTTTATGATCTGATCAATCGTGGAGGATGCCCAATTCGTTAAAAGCTGACGCAGTTGTTAAAAAATTCATGTTTATTTCAAGTCCGTCTTCTGGTAGACATTACAGGCTATGACTATGTTTTTTTCAAAAGTCATCATATAGTACTATACTTGAGCTTATCGAAGTCAAGAAATCGTCCTTTTACAATTTTCTCAGTAATTTTTGAAAAGTTGTATGCTAAAGGTATAGCTCTTCTACATAATAGAGTCATCTGGAAATTCTCCCGATTGAATTGTTTCGCTACTGATTTGAATTGTTTGAAAAGTTAGCACTCATACTGGAGACATTTTTGCGAGGTCACGACGTGACTTTCTCGAAAAAGTAAATATTTACATCTATATAAATTATATTTTTGAGGTCTCTTTCCGAGAAGTGAAATGCAGAATGAGTTTGTTTTTCAAATCTCTACCCATTAAGCCCACTGCAGATTGACAAATTATTTCTCCTAAGTATATTGTTTCTGCTTTGTATACTGCAAGACTTCCAAGGTTACTCTTATTGTCTATGTCAGATTTGATGCGCTCGTTCATGATCCTCTATAACTAAAGCGATCCAAAGATCGAATAGATCAAAAGACTTCCTCGTAGAAACGTTAAGGAACTGCTAGAATAGAAATCCGCATACGATACCTGTTACTTATTTTTCATTTCTCTTGATAATTCGGTAAGATATAAACTATTTTTTCACTTTGTAAATATGTTATGTGCCTTAGGCAAAATATTTTTTTTTGAGGGCCCCTTATACGAATTGACTTGGAAATGGAAACTTTGTGCGACTAGCACCCATAGTGACAAACAAGAAGTAATAAAAACTGACATACCTGCAACTTTCGCAGTGATTTCCTTGTTGGCCGCTGTAAAAGGACAGAATGTTAAACTCAAATATCATCTCATAAGCCAAGAATTTTCTCACCTCCAAGGTTTTTAACTACATCACCAATTCCTGAAAGAGAGGGAAATTCGAATGAAAATATTGCTTCAAGCTTTTTGTGCCTCAACATAATATGTAAAAAGTCTAAAACATCCACTTTTTCAACATGGCGGTCTACGAAGCCCGACAGGATGCCAGCTGAAGCGCAAAAATCATATACCCGAGAATTTACGAGACACCGAAAAAGTTGATTACTATATTTCTATATTTACAGATGGGACCCGTAGTAAACAGATAGAGTACTTTAGCGAAAATAAACTTAAGGAGGATCTATCTTTTGTTCACTTCATTGCTTAAAGGCAGAGTTTAGGATGCATTAATTTCCATCACATCAAACGCCAGCTGAGTTGATAGTACATATATATCTGTTGAAGTCATATCATAAACAGAATTATGTTTGGACATTGGATGATTTCCAGAAATATGGAAAGAGTCTCTTATAATCTCCAATACCAAAATTTCTATTCCTGGTTCATATAGTGACTTGCAAACTATCACTTTACTGCCTGTCCTGCCAAAACTAATCGATAAGATTATAAATAATTTACAATTAAAGAATTTCTTAGATAAAAAAGATTGTTACAGTGCAAGTTCAACCCTACTATCCATAACTGATGATATTTTCATCGTATGTTACAACTCAAGTACCTTTAGGCTTTTTAAAAGCGTTTGACATAATTAACCATCAACTAAAAATTTTAATATTTAGGTTTGCCTCAAGAAACACTGAATTTATTTCGATGCTACTTAGCTAATAGAAAACGAAGAGCTTCCATGGCAAAAGAAACATCGTTACCTAAATCTATCGTTCTTTAGTGTACCACAGGGATCCGTTTTGGGACCACTTCTCTCCACTGCCCACACATCATACTTAACGGAGGTTGTAAATTGACGACATAAGCTGACGATATCAAAATATTCTTATCATTTGACCTACAACATTCTGCAACTGCTACTTTGGAACTAAATAGAGATTTGAATGCAATGTACACACAATACTTGGATTAAATGCAGTGTTTTTATTCTGCCAAAAAAAGCACCAATGGTCTTCTGAAGTCAAAGATGGATTCTATATTAACAATTTAAGACACAATTAGATAACAAAATCATAAATTGAGATTTTAAATATTTAGTTCAATTAGTTTATTATTATCTTGTTTTCAGTAATCACACAATGAATACATGACACCGCTTTCCGCTTGTGTCTTCAATTTCCAATTAAGATTTACTGATTATGTCAATAATCCTTGTGTATTGTCGAGTATAGGTTGAGATTTCGAGAACACATCACTAACATCGTTAGAAATTGTTACTTAGTATTGAAGCGAAAAAATATATAATGACAAAGCTTATCAAAAATTCTTTATTGTTCATCATTATACTATACTTGTGTGGCCACGGGCTTCACACCTAGAAGCTGGCGGCAGGCTAAAGTGGTATTCATTCCTAAACCGGGCAGAGATAGATATACTGGCCCGAAGGATTTTCGACCGATTACTCTTTCATCTTTTGTGCTTAAGACCCTGGAAAGGATAGTTGATAGATACCTAAGGGATGGCCCACTGGAAAGGTGTGTCATTCATGCAAATCAGTTTGCATACCAAGCTGGAAAATCGACTGATCTGGCCTTACACAATCTGGTCGGGAGGCTGGAGAAGACTCTAGATCAGCGAGAAGTGGCACTCGTGGCCTTCTTGAATATTGAAGGTGCATTTAATTGCACCACAACCGACTCTATCAGACAGGCCTTGGTTAGACACGGGGTTGGATCAATCCTAATAGATTGGGTCCTCTCTACTCTGGAGGGTCGGGTAACAACAGCTATGCTGAATAACGTAAGCTGCAGCGTGAACGTAGCTAGAGGCTGCCCTCAGGGCGGAGTTCTGTCACCCCTACTGTGGTGTATCGTGGTGAACGAACTGCTCGTTAGGCTCAGCAGTATGGGTGTCTACGCGCAAGCCTATGCTGATGACGTAAGCATAGTGGTTAGGGGGCGTTTCTGTAGAACAGTCTCGGAAATTATGCAGGGCGCTCTGCGCTCCGTGGAATCGTGGTGTAAGGAAGTCGATCTTTCTGTTAATGCTGAAAAGACCGAGCTGATCCTATTCTCTAGGAGAAGAAGGCTTGACGGACTGGTCATGCCGACCTTCTTTGGAACTAGATTAGTTTTGTCCCAGTCAGTGAAATATCTGGGAATTATCCTGGACTGCAAACTGAACTGGAGAGAGCATGTGGAACACAAGGTTAGCAAGGCTCGCAATTCGATGTGGGCTTGTAGACGTGTTGGTGGCCTTGCATTAGAACTGAGTCAACTAAGGCCAAACTCAATAAAATTCAGCGTTTGGCCTGTATTAGCATTACAAGCGCAGTGCGAACAACGCCATTGAGTGCAATGGAAGCTCTGTTGGATCTCCCACCGTTGGATCTGGTGATCCGCGGTGAAGCGAGAGTAGTCGCTCATCGACTGTGGAGTCAGGGCAGCTGGGCTTTCTTGAATCCGGTCAAGGGGCATACTGCCATCTTAGTCAAATTAGAAAGGGAGGACCCCGTCCTTCTAAGCAGGGGTGATCGTATTACCCCTAAATATCGCTTCAACCGCAAGTTTATTGTGGAGTACCCAACGAGGGAGGAGTGGGACGCCGGTAGCCGAGGACTCTCCGAAGTGAGCGGGCAGGTCTGGTACACGGACGGCTCGGTCACCGAAGAGGGCTCAGGTGCTGGGGTCTCTGGACCTAGAACTAGGCTATCTCTGCCTCTCGGTGAGTACACCACCATTTTCCAGGCGGAAATCTTTGCGATTCTGGCTTGTGTATCTCACATTCTGGAGGAGGGTGGGCCTAGGAGAAGAATAACAATCTTATCCGACAGCCAGGCTGCAATGAAAGCACTAAGTGCATGTAAGATTACTTCGAGTCTTGTATTGCAATGCAGGGAGGCTCTGGATTGCCTCGCAGCGAGGCATCCGGTATCGTTAATATGGGTACCGGGGCACGCTGGGATAAGGGGCAATGAGACGGCGGACACTCTGGCGAAAACAGGATCAGCCAGCAAGCTCGTTGGTCCTGAGCCAACTCTAGGAGTAACCGCGCATAAAGCTAGGAGGAAAATGGAGACGTGGGTTGCAAGACAACACTCTCAGAAATGGAGAAGTAACTCTAGACATCTCCGCCAGGCACGAGAGCTCATTGAAGGGCCCAGTGCTAAGGATGGACGCTTCTGCCTATCTCTGGGTAGAGTCAACCTAAGGTTGCTGGTGGGACTGTTGTCTGGCCATAACACGTTAAGGCGGCACCTGCACGTGATGGGGGTGGCTGAGGATCCCTTGTGCGAATGCTGCGGAGTAGAGGAAGAGACCTCGGCGCACGTTTTGTGTCGCTGTGAAGCTCTGCGCTACTATAGGCAGACTATACTGGGGTCCATTACTTTGGACCCTCAGGACGTAAAGGAGCTTGGACTCAAGGCGATTCTCAACTTCGCTAAAAGGGCGAGGCTTGTGATTTAAGTATTGTAGAGGTGCATAAGGGCCCGCTTAAGCGGCCTATGCACTGGCTCCTTATGGTGGCCGGTATGCCTCTAAAATTCAAGATTCATTCATTCATATACTATACTGGTCTATATCATGCATGCGAAAAGTCCAAAATTGCTGTTGTGAATAATTTAACCAGATATGCCATATCTCAGAACCTATTTATGGGATCTTCGAACGTTAAAGTTTTTTCAATATTCATTACTTACTGCGGAACACAAAGTAAAACTAACTGGGCAGTCTTTAATCCTCGGTTACATGTAATTCACCTTACCAGCATCATACGGTTTCCATATTCGTTCAACTTGCCCCAATATAAAACAGCATTATACACTATCCTTGTATCTGTCTTTGTCAAAACAATCTGACGACATGTCGCAAACTAAATTCTTAACGTAACTTACAGTACTATACTTATTTGTGTTTTCTCAATGATTTTATGATTATTGTTTTCACTAACGTACATCATTTAAAATATTCTCAACTAGTGCAATATACCTGAGCAATAGCAAAAACATCCTTAAGTAGCGTAAGTACTTACCATCTAAACCAGCTATGCCAACTTTTCCAGCTCCCACTGCTTTAGCAGCTTGTTTGACAGGCCCAGGAGCAGCAACAGCAACTATGAGAAAAGTTATATTCAAGCAGATTGACTCACTTTTTGACATGGTATTTTCGCACACCACTAAGGATTTTCATATACCACCATATCTACTTCCCCGTAAAAATGAAGCTAAACGCGAACAATAGCATCTTATGATCATGGTCAGTTTCCCGTATTAATGACAAGCTATCATTTTAAATGCGCTGCGTTACAAAAACTTGTACGAAGACAAAACAACGTTACGTTTTTAGCTTTCAGATTATGGTTAAGTCTAGTTTAGCTTAACGCGGCGACCATCACGTCAACCTACAGCGTTTTCCGAAAGAAAGTCCGATCATATAGTTTAATTCAGTGAACAGGGAAATCTAAGGATGTCTCCCAAAATTCGACGTTTTTTTTTTCTCACCTTAGATGGAGCTTTCGGGGTAATTTTTTTCATTTTCTTTTGTATCCTACCAACCCTGCTAATTTCAAGTGAGGTTAAACAATAGTACTTACTTGATACTAAAGCTAGAGCTACTATAGCTACGAACACGGCCTGCAACAAAAAATTAATTAATAATCCCTGTGACATACTTAACGACTTAATCGGAAGAAATACAAAATATGTAGAATATAATTACAGCATAATTTTAAAAAGAACGTAAACAATCTAATGAGGTTCTTCAAATAATTCTAATGTTTCATTGATTTTCAAACCACGCAACTTTAAGATGCTTTCTAAAAAGATTTTTATTGCTTATGCAGTTTGCCATTTCAATGGTAACACAGTTCATGTGCATATTTTTTGGCAGTATACGCGCAGTGATTGGACATATCAAAAAAATCAAGGCTCACCTTCATTTTGAGTTAATTGTGGAGCTGCCTGACTCGAAACATAAAAAATCAGTTAACCGAGACGCAATTTTCTTTGCTATAAATATATCGTATCACATCAGAACGTCACGTACCGACAATAACTGGAGTATTAGTGTTTCGTTCATTACCTTACAATGTTAGTTCTATTGGCTAATTAGTTGTTTTTGCAATGTAATACGGTACTAAAGATTAAAAAATCAGTGGTGAATACAAGAACGATATGTCAGCAAACTTTCCCCGAAAAAACTAGCAACGCTAGCTTGGTATAATCGCAGGAAAGCAATTCTGAATATTCTTCTATTGTGACAAGATTCCCGGCCGCAAAATTTGGTATTACAGACATGCCGACTGGAAGGGTCTCAAGGAGCTCTCGTACGCTCTAAAACCATTTAAGGAGTATGTATATTTTATGTGTTTATGCCATTTGACACGATGATTCGAAATAGGGACGATGATATACAGGGTATTAGCGAAATAATATTCGTAACTTTAAGAGGTGATTCCTGGCAGTATTTTAAGCGTGAAAATCCATTATAACTTATCGTTTTCGAGGAAAGTGAGTCGTAAATAATTAAATTTTCTCAAACATTTGGCAACGCTGCAACGCAACCGCGGTAACAGCGCACGACGACCGCAACTAGTTCATCGAATTGTTTACGTTTGTATATGATATTTTTGTAGAAAATATGCCTTTAATTATTGAATCGACGTTGCTAGTTGTGTGATGGATTTTGATGTCTGTTTTTCTTAGAAAAAATGTATTTAATAAGCAAGAAAATTGATAAATAGATGTATTGTTGCATTTCACGCTATCAGGCATACGCATTTAAATTATTAAGGTGCAAAATTAATTTATTTCATGACTCAAAGGAAAAGTTCAGCATTTTTTTTGCTCCGAAACGGTTGATTTTCGGACATAGGTTATAATGAAATTTTTGCTCAGAATAATGCAAGGAATCACCTCTTAAAGTTACGAATGTTATTTGCGTAACACCATGTACAATTATAGTAAGAACCGCCGAGGCTTCCTTCATTCTGAAATCTACCGTTGGTAATAAACAAATGGTAAACATTTTATGGACTCGTAGGTGGACATTTCGTATTTATGTGAAAAATTAGTTGGTTTGTTTCCATATATATGTATATACTTCGAAGTTGAGTCATTTATTTTAACAGTGAGTAGATCTGATCAAAATAAATGTTTTTTTCCTTTACCATTTTTCTGGTAAAATTAAAGTAACAAAGTTATAGCTCTTTGGAAGTTTGAGTACCGCCCTGTCTCAATAATAATATTATGTGCTCGTGTTTGGCGACAACGGATATAATTCGCCTTATCGGTTCATCGCATCGGAAACAAAAAAGCGAAAGAATTTGGAACGATGTTTTTACAATTATTTCATTCAGTTGTATACAGTCAGTGTCAGTCGGTAACGCGTGAGTGAATAGTGGTGTCTGTTGCGTGGCTCAAACGAAATCAAAAAAGGCACATGTTTACGAAAATGCTGAACTTGTGGACATGCGGCATCACGGATTTA